GCAGCCCGGCCAGCTGCGAGTAGGCGCTCTGGCACACCTGGCACTTGTAGGGGCGCTCGCCCGTGTGCAGGCGCACGTGGTTGCGCAGCGTGGACGACTGGCTGAAGCGGCGGTTGCAGAAGCGGCACACGAAGGGCTTGTCCAGCGTGTGGATGCGCATGTGCGAGCGCAGGTTGCTGCGGGAGTTGAAGCCGCGGTGGCAGATGACGCAGCGCATGCGGCCCGCGGTGCCCGCCGCAGAGTCCGCGGGGTGGAAGTCCTCTGGCGCGCGCGCGCGGGCGGGCGGGGCGCGACGGGGCGCGGGTGGGGGGAGAGAGAGCAGCCCGTTAGAACCCCCTGGTGGGCCTGGCACCCCGCACCCTTCGCCGCCCGGCAGGACCGGGCGCCCCCGCCCAGGCCCGGCCCTTGGGGAGGCGGATGGGGGACCCTGGAAGGGGCCGCAAGGGCCAGGGTTGGGGTCAAAGAGGAGCTGGATTTCAAACCTGGGGGTGCGGGTCTGGAAACCTCACGAACCTCAGCTTTCTCATCTGTGAAATGGGAGCCACCCCACAATGCTGGCTGCCCCGTGCTGAGCACTCGGTGGGCTCAAAACAGCCGTTCGGCCATGGCAGAACTATTACGGCGCCCAGCCTTGCATGTGTTCCTACCATAAATATTTACTGAGAGCCCACTAGGAATCAGAACTGCTTCCAACTTTCCTGGCACGTCCCTTTCGGGGAGGTCACCGCAGCCCCGCCCCAGCCTGCTGCGGGCACCAGGGAAATGGGTGTCACGTGGCTGCAGCACCAGGCCTCAGTAAACACGACTTCATGGACCCCAGGCTCCAAGAATACTTACTGGCAACCAGATGCCAAGGTAAGGGTTAGCTGGATAGCTGGTGCCAACTATCTGCTCATCGGTGTCCCCTCAGAGCCCACGCGCCCCACTTCTGTTCTGCGGGTTCCACTGAGCACCTACCCTCCCTCCCCCAGCCTGCCGCCCCTGACCAGGCAGAGCGGCCTCCAGAGCCGCAGAGCCGCAGGGACTCAGGCTTCATAGGGCAGCTGAGGCCAGAGCCATCCCAGATCTCAATCCAGGCTCCCGAAGCCCAAACCCCGACCCTGCTCCTGCTGCCGGGTCTCCCACCACCTGCCCCTCCCACCCTGTCTGTGAGGCTAGAAAACAGAAGTGCCTTCCAGCACCGCCAGGCCCGGAGCAGGTTCCAGGACACCCCCTTCCACACACAATTAGGCCTCCGTGCTGGATGCTGCTGGGGGTGGCACCGGTGCGAGGCCAGGGGCCTCCCCGCAGCCCCGCCTCTGGACGCCGCCGTCCAGCCTTCAGGTCCATGCAGGACACCTACCATGCTTGTTCTTCTTCTGCTCCTCCTCCAGCCCCGGCACACCCGGGATCCCCAGGAAGGTATTGTGGGCGTTTCCGTACCACACCAGCAGCTCCTGGTCCGGGGGGATCATCTGCAGGGGAGGAGGAAAGGGCTGGTCAGGGAGGCAGCAGCCCCCGTGGCTCGCAGCTGGAGAGGAGATGCAGCCACCCAGGCCGTCCACCCAACCGTCCCGTCCCCCAAGCTGCTCCAACACAGGAGGCAGGATGGCCGCCTCTGCGCCGCTCTCCACAGGCCTCGCTGTGCCTGGGGAAGGCTCCCGAGTGCCTGCAAGCTCACAGCAACAGAGCAGAGCTGCCTGGCAGAGGCCAAGCCCGTCACATGAGCAGGGAGCCAGGGAGCGTTTCTTCCCGAGGGCAGCCAGTCAGCCGGCCAGCCAGTCAGTCGGCCAGCCCGTGGGGTCTGCAGGGCTGAGGCAGCTGTTCTCCAGGAACACGGCTGTGGGGCACGCTCTGGTACTCGGGATGTTCTGGAAACATCTCAGCTGAAGTGCCTACTGGCTACCCCAGGTCAGTGCACTCCTGTCTCTAGCAGAGCTCCCTGCACAGCTCCACGCATACGGCAGGTGCTCAAAGATGCACATCTGGAAACTCGGGGGTTTAGCCCTGGACCAACTCCACCAGGCCCTTATGCTATGGCAGAGAAACCCACAAATGGAGACAGGGCTCTGAGGTCACGTTGACCGTAGATCCCACACTCTGGGATGGACCCCCGGGCCTTTGATGAAAGCCAGTTATGCCTCCCAAGTGGGGAGCTTCAGGCCCCCCCACCTAGGGCAAAAGCCACAACTGGTTTGTGGGTGGGATGGGGGCGTCTGCATTTAGTGGAAGAGCAAAGGGTGGCCGGGGTTCCATCTAGTGGTGTCTGAAATCACCCCCAAGCAGGGCCTCCCTTGGCCTCTGTGAGCACAGAGAAGCCGGGGCTCCGGTGAGGCTCTGGCCTGCAGACCTGCCTACTCAGGTGTCCTGTCCACACCTTCCGTCCCCTGGCCAGAGCCTGAGGGCCTGAGCCCATCAGTCAGCCGTTCTGCCCACCCCAACCTCTGAGCAGAGAAGGGGGCTGGGTGGGGCTGGGCGGCTGCCTTCGTCCTGAGACAGCCTGGGGTCTCCAGGCCCCTTCCCAACAGACCCCCAAGGTGTCGCGTCAACCTCAGGGTCAGTGATGGGGAGAAGCCAGGCAAAGGGGGCCACGCCAGCCCGGGGGGGTCCATGTGTGCACGTCATAGAGTCCAGGGACCCGAGGGGAACGAGCCAGTGGCACAGAGAAAGCAGGCAGGTTAGAAGCCGACGCCAGAGCAAAAGCCCCGGGCCTCTCAGGTCATGCCCGGTCACGGCCGCTGTCGGGGGGAGCAGGGCCGGGCTGGCAGAGGAGCCGGACTTTGTGAGTCCCTGAGTCAAGAAGCCGCTGGAAGTAAAACACTCCAGATGAGGCCGCTGTGAAGGAGCTGCGGGCAGCCCTCAGCAGGGAGCCTGGGGCCCACACTGCCTCCAGTGTGGGGCTGGCGTAGCACCAGCCTGAGGTGCCCGGCTCTGGGACTCTGCTTGGGAGCCCCCTGGCGTCTGTGCTCAGACAGACCAGACGTGGCTACCTGCCGTCCCTCTAAAGCCAGCAGGCTCCTGGGCCGTCAGAGCCGCCCACTCCAGGACAGGACTGCAGGGCCGGGCCCGTGACGGAGCGCCGGCTCTGGCTGCTCGGGGGCCAGGAACACCTGGAGCTCTCGCACCACTGAGGACAGGACTGGACGGAGGGCGAGCAAGCGCTTACCAGAATTTCCCTGGCAGAAAGCTGCCGGTCACTGCCCTGAGGGCGCCTCCCCGAGTGAGCGGCACAGCATGGCGGGCCGTACCCTCCGAGTCCAGCAGCCACAGAGGCCCACCAGCCCCACGCTGGGGACACCAGCTCCCCCAGGCAGCACAGATGTGGGACGGGAGGGTGAGTGACCCCCCAGAGGATCACCCTGATCTCCACTCCACTTGCGGGCTGGGGACCTCGCTTGGGGATCTTGCTCAGTATGGCCCCATCGTGTGGCTGGCCGCCGAGGGTCACTATTAAATCTGAGGCAGTGTGAGCAGCGGGCAGTGAGCGCGGGGGCCAGCATGCCCCGGAGGCGGAACTGGGGCCTTGGCGGAGAGCGGAGCAGCCCTGCTTCAATACTAGCCACTAGCACCTCTGAACAACACGCTAACGTTTTACTAATTAATTAAAGCATGGGAGGGGGCGCAGAGACACAGGGGGTGTGTGCCAGAAAGGACCTCTCCTGCGCTCTGGGCGTCCAGACATGTCCTTCTGAGTCTGTCTTTCAAATGCTGACTTAAGGCTTGTGCGGGGCAGTGCGATAAGGCAGGATGAGGTGACCTCATGTTCCGTGTGCTACAGCCCATGGTTTTCTATAAAGAAGCGCACGCTATTTTATACAAGGATTTGTTTCTAAGACAGAAGATCTACCAAGAGAATACGCTGGAGTCCAGAGTGACGCCTGTCCAGGCGGGGAGAAGCCTACGGCCCCCGAGCCAGCCCATCCACACGGAGGCCGGGGCCTCGGCCCTCGCTCAGCCCTTTAGAGCTCTGGGGAGCCAGTGGGAACCGCTCACCCCGGCCGCAGGCCTCTGCCTGCTCTGTGACCCCTCGCCACGTCCCTGAAGATCAAGGCCAGGGAAGCTTGGGGAGCTGCGGGCTCGTCTCTGCGAGGCCGCTCGTGTGAGAGGCCGCACCCACCAGCTGATGCCCAGCAGCAGAGGGGCACGGTCCCCCACCCGCAGCGACCCTCAACAGCACTTCTTGTTTCTGCCTGAACATCTCCGACGTGGCCCAGCCAGACTCCACACAGTCTCAGAGAGCCCGTCCACACAGTCTCAGAGAGCCCGGTGCCACCTGAGAGCCTGGTACCACCTGAGAGCCTGGTACCACCTGAGAACCTGGTACCACCGAGAACCTGGTGCCCCCAAGATCCTGGTACCACCTGAGAGCCTGGTACCACCTGAGCACCCGGTGCCCCCTGCAGGTTCACTTCTCCAGGCATGCGCGCCGGCTGAGGACAGGACAGGCAGGGACAAAGTGGCCCATGTCACGGCCCTGCCTGACATCCAGGCACCGGACGCGGGGAAGGTCGCCGCCCGTTTCTGTCCACAGCCTGCACCTGCTGCCTGACTATCCTACGCGCTCAACGGCTGCGCGTTCCTGAGTTTTTATTATACGTGGAAAGTGATGGGGCGCAGGTTTGTTTCGCGAAGATCCATTCGTGTCATGCTAATGAACAAGCCCCCAGGAGGCTCTGACGCCCCGCCCGCGTCGTCCGCAGAGCAGAGCCCTAGCCGGGGAGGGCCTCGGTGTCATCTGGGCGAATATCAGTTTCCACTGTACACAGATGTCCCGACACACCAATTAATAGAGTTGCAGCAAATAGATATTGGCCAGGGATGCACCCGGCGCGTGGGTCGAGGGCCCGGCCCTGGGGTCAGACAGGCCTAGATGGCAGTCACAGCTTGCCACCCGCCCACCTGTCCTGCCATCACCATTAGACAGAGACACCTGGTGGGCGGGGAACGTCCTGTTTAAGAAGCTGCAGAGGCCGGGGCCAGTCCTCGTGCCGGGGTGGGTCCCTGAGCTAGCCGCACCCCGTGGGTCCCCGTGGAGCCGGGGCTCCGAGGCCGTACCCCTCAGTGGCGGGAATCCAGGCGCAAAGTGGCAGGGATGACGCCGCGGGACTCGCGTCAAAAGGGGAGGGAAGGCTGGAATTTTCTTCCCAATCACAAAATCCAGAATTATAAAGTAGACCTACAAAATGATAACTTTCCCAGCTGAGTTTTGGGGTGAAAGGTCTGGCTTCCTGGGTGGCCAGTTTGGGTTTCCTCTTTCCGGAAAAGCCAGGTCCCCGCCCACCGCCACCCCCTTCCTACCCTCGCCACCCGCAAGAAGCCTCTTCACACGGGGTCCCACTCTCACTACGTGCCAGTCACGTTCCAGAAACACCCGCGTTCGGCCCCTGAGTTCTCACACGTTCCTCTGCGGGTACAGTGCGTGGGGGGCTGCCTGGGTCACCTGCCGCCTCCCCGTGGGGCCCTCACTGTGCGCCCGTGGAAGACTGGCCCCGGCAACGCTGAGTGAGCTTCCCAGTAAAGGCATCCCTCCTGGGGGCCGGGTGGGCTCTATGGGGCGAGAAAGGGCCGCAGGGAGGCCGCTCTCCCGGCCAGGCCAGCGCGCACACAGGGAAACACGGCGGGGCGCTCCGGCAGTGTCAGAACGCGGCGGGCCTGGAGGGCCCACCCGCCCCTCAGCCCACGGTCACAACTCGCAGTGTGCCAAAAGTGGGGTCTCACCGCAGGTCGAGAGAAGCGCCGCACCGAAAAGCCGCGGAACCTCACTGGTTCTAGTAAGAGGGGTGCTGCCCTGCCGCCCTGCCGCCCCGCCCCTCGCTCAGACTCTGCGGGGCTCGGGAAAGTGGAAGCGCGAGGGGCCACATCTGCGGCCTCCAGCTGTGCAGTCCAGGGGGTCCCCTGCCCGTGGGAGCAAGGGCCCCCGACATCTGGGGTGCGCGGACCCCCACTGCCCTCAGATCTCCACCGCTCTCTGACCTCTGCCCGACACACCTCACACACTACAGCACTGTGTGGCCGTGTGGAGCCCCGGTGGGCACCCTCGTGCTGGTCCTCTTTGAAGTTCCCGATCAGATACACGCGACCTTGTTTTTTCTTCGCACAAATTCACACCCTCCCTGGAGATGTTCTTCAGCCACTCTGCCCCCGACTCTACATTTCCGCGTGAACGTCCACTGCCGGCCCCTGACTCTGCTCAGCCTTTACCAGCGTGACCTGCACAGCGCTGACGCGCAGGCTCCCAGGTCGCCTCGCCTGGAGCCCTTCTGCCAAGATCATGAAGCCTCCCGGGGGCCTGTGGCCTGCCTGCGTGCACAGACCCGCACGAGGGTGCCCACCGGGGCTCCGCACGGCCACACAGTGCTGTAGGTGTGTGAGGTGTGTCGGGCAGAGGTCAGAGAGCGGTGGAGATCTGAGGGCAGTGGGGATCCACGCACTCCAGATGTCGGGGGGCCTTGCTCCAATGTGGGGGCAGCTGGTGGCCCTCTGTCCCAGGCCTGGCTTCAGTCCTACCCACCAGGTGCTATGGCACCCCATCTAAGTGGGCCCCCGAGGCTGGGGAGGGCTCCCCCTCCTCATCCTTCACGTTCAGGGTCTCCCTAGGTGCACCCCTGTGGGACACACCCCTTGGCCTCACCAGGACCCAGGCAAAGGTTATTCTGCTGTCAACCTGGGAAATTCCCCAGGGCCTGTCATTGAGAGACAACCTGTCCTCATTCCAGAAGTTTCCAGAGCCCCTGGGCCTTTGAAAGACAGGGCTCTCAGTTCCAGGGTCATTCTTCGGCCCTGGGGAGCTCCTTCAGGCCACCCCCAAACTCAGTCAAGTCCCCTAGGGGCACTGGGGAAACATTAGGGCCAGACACCTCTCGCTCTCTCCTCTGAGACGTTTCTCCGGCATTGCCCCCTGACCCCCACGTTCCCTGTAGGGCTCCCGAGTGTGCCTCCACCGTGCGAGACCTGGCAGGTGACTCAGAATCCTCTGGTGTGGATTAGACATGCGGGATTAAAGACGCTAACTCGTAGGCAGGTGTGCAGAGTGACACTGTGCCCCAGGGCCCGGGGACAGCTGGGACCAGAGTCGGGGCCATGCCACATGTTGGGGCCATGCACTGAGGGCGGCAGAGTGAAGGACACAACTGCTGGGAGGCGCAGGCCCAGCGCGTTCCCGGGCTTCCACCCGCATCTGGCTGTCTGTTTCCTTATGATGCCTGAGCCCAGACACCCTCCGTGGGCATCCGGGGCCTCACTGTCGAGGTGCTCGTGACATTCACAATGGCACCGAGTCCAGCACCTGCCATGAGGTCATGCACCCAGAGACCGAGACTTCCTGCAGCTCGGCAGGGCCGCTGGGCCAGCGTCCACACCCCTCCAGCTACACCGGACAGAATGCAGCGGCCCCAGCCACCATCCCCCGCCCCCCACCAGCCCAACACAACTGCCCACACCCACCTCGATGGCCTTGTAGAAGATGCTGGTGCCAATCTGGACCACCTCCAGGTTCTGCTCCTGCTCGTTCCGGGCACACTTGATGTAGGTCATCCAGCTGCGGTGGTCCTCCTGGCTGGCATCGATGAAGTAGCGTACCGTGCCGTCCTCATTGAACACCTGGGAACAGGTGAATCGGGACCAGGTGAGGTAGGGCTGTGGCCCTCATGCCACCCGAGGCAGGGTCAGACTCCGTGCCAGGCATAGACACACTCTGCAGAGGGCCCGGTCAGGGCCTCCGGGGGGCATGGGAGACTGGAGAGGGAAGGCGGGCTGATGTGCCATCTCAGCTGGCTTCGTGGGCCTTACCAAGAGTATTCGGGGTTCAAGTTGGACCCCCCCCCTCCTTAAGTAGACAAGAACTGAACAAGGTGAACAGGCCTAGGGGAGGAAGAAAGGGAGGTGAGGTCAGGGCGGCCGTGGGCCAGCCTGGTCCTTCTGCGGCTCCTATGAGCACTGGCCGATGGGCCACGCTGGCTCCTCCAGGGCTGCTGGGTGGGGCCGGGTGGGGGCTCTGGGGGTGCAGGGAAATGAGATGGGGGGAAGATGCACCAGCTTGGCCTCTGCAGGGAGAAAGCCCCAAGAAGAGGTGGTGCCTTGGGATCAGCTCCGTCCTCAGCCTGCCCCCACCCCCACCCCTCCGGCATCTGCCCAGAAGGAGGGTCAGAAGCTAGGACTGGAGACTGGAGCCCTCAGTGCCATCTGTGGAACGAGGATAATAAATGAGAGCTCCTGGGGTACCTGGGGAGGGCGGCCCGGCTCGGGAAGCTGACTCAGTGCCGAGTCAGGCACGGTTATTACTCCAAGGTCATTACTCTGGGTGGAGAAGCGCGGTCAGACCTCCATATTCTGCATTCTGGTCCCCTCCACCCAGACCAGGGTTGGGTTGGAGAGAGAGAGAGAGAGAACACGGGTGACTGGGAGAGGCCCCGGGGGTGGCTTCCAGCTTTCTGCAGACCAGGACAGGCCTGGGTGGCTCTGGGGCTCTGTGAGCTGGGGCCCCCAGCAATGCAGAGGACCGGCCAGAGGAAGGGGTCAGTTTTCCAGTTTGCAGAGGACCCTCCGGCACGGCTGGGTGGGTGGGTCCGCCTCACTTGGCTGGGCCAGGCCCTCTGCCCCACCTCGCCAGCAAAGTCATCCTGGGCCAGGGGCGCACTGCACCCCGCTCACCCCCTCCGAGCCCCAGCCCTGGCGCTGCTATACCTCCCACATGAGGTTGTTGTTCTTGCAAATGTCCACACGCTCAGGGGCGATGACCCGGCCAGTGAAGGGGCCCATCTCTGTGCCCGCCTTGATCCACGTCTTGGAGAAGATGCCCAGGCCCTCGCCGGGGATGGAGCTCTGAGCGATGATCACCTCCGCGGGCAGTACCAGGCTGGACAGCTTCTGCACCTCTGGTCAGGGGCAGGAGGGCTGGGTTAGCGCCCTAGGCTGGGGGTTCTAAGCTGGGGCAGGCGGCAGCGCCATCTGCCCCACCCCAGACCCAACCCCCCCTTCTGCAGATAAGTCATCCAGGTGTGTCTGTTCGAGCATTTCGGGAGGTGTGGAGGGAATAGAGACTCTAACATGTATGGCGGGGACATATTAGTATCTTCACGAAATTTCAGTCTCTCCACGCCTCGAGGAAAGTTGGACTCCGGGCCGCAGTGCCTAGTGGGCCCACTGGTAAACAGGTCGCTCTATGGGGAGGGCCAGGCAACCCCAACTCTTGCCCTTCTCCTCCCCTGTGGGTTCTGAGGCCACTGTGGGAACTGTGGAAACGCACAGAGCGACTCGACTCCAGGTGCTGGGAGGCCCGTCGGGGTGGGCTGACGAACTGGGGTACGAGGAACGGGGGTGTGAGGCCTCCGAGACTCTAAAGAAACATGGGCCACGGCTGGTCTCTGGGGTGCGTGCCTGGGTGCTGCGCCCTAGATCCTGGCCCTGGATCCTGGGAGCCCCGAAGGGCGGTGCGAGAACCCAGGCGAGCCTGAAGCCTCCTCTCTGGGCGCCGTCCCCAGCCGGGTCTGGCTGCCAGGGTGGGGGCGGTGAGGCGCAGGGGCGGCCTCCGGTCTTACAAGGTTCCCCTCTAAGCTACCTGGGAAAATACCCGGGGAGCCGGCCGACTGAAAGGGGGGTTAAACGGTATCCATTGCAGCCGGGCGGCAATTTGTCACGCTGTTAAAGTGATCGCATTCATTCGGCTCCATTCGAAAGAAATTGCTAATTCTAAATTCATTAGCCCTGGAAGAATGCTGTAGCAGTAAATTGTAGCTCAATGCGGAGGGGACTTGTTTAAAAGGGGCCGAGGAATTCCCCTTACAAAAAGCGGGGATTAGATGGTTGACATAGCGTGAATGGAAGTGGAATTAGTCTTCACGGTAAATTAAGAGAGGAACAGAAATCGCGAAGGGGGAAGAGGGCGACGCGCAGAGATGCCAGCGCCGGGAAAGATATTGTTTGCGGGTTGATGAATGAGGAATAAGAACTTGAGACATCTTAAAGAAAAGAAACTTTTCTCTCTTTCTCTCCCTCGCTCTCTGCGCGGCTTTTTCTCCCTGCCCGCCCGCCCACCGCCCCCTCCCCAATCCCCGCTGCCTTTTAAAGTTCTCGGTTTAAGTGGGAACTTTCGCGGGTCAAGCCCAAGTTAACCAAATGAATTTAAAAGCCCTTCTTTTCGAGTCAACTGCTATTACACGCCTAGTAAGGCTTTAAATGCCGCGAACCCGCCGGCCCCGAGGGGTGCGGGCCGGCGGGAGCTCGCTGCCGCCGCGGGGCCGGGCAGCCGGGCGCTCCGCGGAGCCGGAGCCGCACGGGGTGAGCCACTGCCCGCCCGCCCGCCCGCCGGGCAGCCACCCGGGCAGCTGTGGCGCGAGGGGCCTGTGGGGCGCGGAGGCGAGCGGGAGCGGCTGCGGGGAATCGGGCCGCCGGGAGGGACCCGCGGGCTTCGACGGCTCCACTCACCGCCCGAGAAGGACTGGGCCAGGACCTCGGCGGTGAAGGCTGTCTTGGGGCTGGCGTGGTGGCTCTTGTCCTCGAAAAGCTGCTCGCCTAGGACGTTGCGCCAGCGGCCGTACAGGAAGCTGTGCAGGATGTCGGAGGTGATGACCTCGGCCAGCGCCAGGCCCGGCGCCTTCAGCCCCGTCTTGAGCACTAGGGCCTCGGCCGGGAGCACCGAGCCCATCATGGGCGGCCCCGGAGCTCGCCGGCGGCGGGGACGGACGGCCGGGCCGACTGGGGAGCAGAGGAGAGAGGGGAGAGCGCTGTGGCGGAAGAGGAGTGGGAAGAGAGCGAGGAGGAGGAGAACGCGGCACCGGAGGAGACCGGAGGAGTGGGAGGCGGAGGGTGGCTGGGCGGAGAGGGAACAGGGGGAGCGAGGCAGAGCGCTCGCTCGAGAGACGGGGAATCTGCAGAGAGGGCAGGGGCGGGCGGGGGGCTGGAGAGACGGGGTGGAGGCGGAGGCGGTGCGGGAGGGGGTGCGGTGCGGGCGGAGGCGGTCGGCTGCAGAGAAACCGCGAGGGGCTCCGGCGGCGCCGCTCGCCCGCACACCAGGCCGGACCGTCTTCCCCTTGGCTAAATCTCTGCGCCTTTATAGGAGCCGCAGTGACCCTCCTAATTGGTTATTAATGACCCCTGACGTCGGAGGACAGACTTGTTGTACCCGGCCCGGCTCGTTGAGCCTCGTCGCGAGAACACAGGGGCGGGGGGCGCGGGCCGCTCCTAACCGTCCCCCTCCGCTCCTCCCGCCCTTCCCAGGCCTTTTCTCCCCTCCCCCCTCTCCCCGTGGGAAGCGCGGGGCAGGGAGGGTGGTTTTGCCCGCGGCGAGGAGAGGAGGGAGCCGGGCAGGGGAGGGGGCGCCGCGAGGCTCTTTCGGACTCCTGGGACCGGGTAGGGCAGGTGGGGACGGCTGGACTCCGACCCCCAGCCCCCCGCGCCTACCCACTGTCCCTGGCCAGCTCTGCTCTTTCTGGCTGGCGGCGGGTGAGGCGGGCGTTCACCTCCCTGCTGCTCCTTGGCCCTCCCAACTGGTTGGATCCATCGCTGGGCTCCGGTCCCGCCCGGCTGACTCCACAGCCCAGACTGGATAGTCGCCCGGAGCCCGCAGCCCGGCCCGCGGCGGGCGCTGAGCACCTGGGAAGACCGCGCTGCTGAGGCGCGTTCGCTTCAAACGGGCCGCTGGAACCGCCAGGCCGGCTGCCTGCAGCCAGTGCGAAAACTCAAATCCGAGTAGAAACAGCTGCCGAGATAGGGCTGAGGCTGTCCAGTCGGCCGGCCTGGCCTGAGTCACCTTGGTGGGCAGCCAGGCTTGGGGGGGGGGCTGGGTCCCAGTTGGGAAGGGCTAAGAGAATCCTCACCAGCTGCCGGTCCCTCCAGGAAAAGACTTTTCTGCCAGATACAGGGGTGTTGGAAAGGGGTCCCCAGACATTTCTGAGGGAGAGAAGCTTCCCGCTGTGAACCCCCTTGGAAACTGCTGGCTGCCGGTCCAGCCGAGGGTGCTCTCGACTTGGCCAGTGGGGTTCCAGGAGCGTTAGCGCAGCTGTGACCTAGGCAAGCCCGCTGTTCCCGCTCCTTTCTGGACTCCTAAGTCTCCCTCTGGTCTCACTTTTCTCCTCTCCTTTCTCCCCGCTCTCCCCTACCAATTATCATCTCACCAGCAGACTTTCTCTGTACCCAGTCAGCTCCCTCTTGCTCAGACTGGGAGGCGCAGAGCAGGAGCCCAGGCGGAAGGCCACCTTCCCGCAGGTTTTTGCTGCCTGGGGGCTTCGCTTCAAGCCCAGACTCCAGTCCGAGACCCTGGAGGGAGAAAGTGGGGCTACCTCTCCCACCTACGGAGCTCCTTAGCCATCCTCCTCCCCTGCGATTTCAGATTTCGATAAGAGCTGGGTTTTCTGGACGCTCTGGGCGTGGGTTGGGCGCGGGTGAGCTGGAGCTGGGTTCCCCAGACGCTGCAGTGCCGGGGCTTGGGCTGAGCCCTAAGGGCCTGACCTCCGACAGGGAGTCACTGTTTTCACGCCCCCTGGCAAAGAGCTGCGCCGCGGAGTCTGTCTGGTCTTTGCTAAAGCAGCCTCACACCTGGACACCGCCCTGCGGCCCGCCGGCGCCAGGCAGTCCTCTCAGGCTCCCGGGCGGGCGCACTCTGGGCCATGGCATCAGGAAGGCTGGAACCGCCGCCTTCAGACTCGGAGTGCGCCCGGCGCGGAAGCCGATGTCCGCGGGAAGCTGCACCGGCCGCAGGCGCGACCGTCGGGCCGGGCGCCAGCAGAGGGCAGCGCTGCGGAGGAATTAGGTCCCGCACTCCCACTCCCTTGCAGACGCCTCCCGCGAGGCACACCGGCTTTGGTGGGAGCCGAGGACTGGTGTCCAAGGGGTGCACTGGGGAGTTCCGGCTGGGGCGCCTCACCCGTTTCTGGGCAATGGCTGCTGGAAAGACTTCGTGGAGGGGAAGACGCCCCCGGGATGGAGAAGACTACCTCGGGGAGAAACCCCATCTGCGCCCAGCTCAGTTCCCAAGGCTGGAAGCCCATCTCAGCGCCTCCGGAAGACCAGAGGAGGGATGAGCCCTACTGGAGGTCCGTGGGACGCCCGCTCCTCGCCCAGCCTTCGAGTACTTGTCTGCTTAACGGTTTAGCTTGGGCGTTGTGAACTGGAGTTTCTTTCCGCCTTGTCTCACTGGCTCGGGTCACCTTCCTTGGAAAGCCCCAAGAATTTTGCCAATTCCCGGAGCACATCACCGAGAGAAAAGCCCTTGGGCTTGCGTCCCTCTGTCCTGGGGCACAGCATTTGGCTGTGGACCCCAGGAGGTGAAGGACCGCGGAACCCCGCTGCGGCCAGAGCCCTGTTCCTTTCCCCTGCACCGGAAAACCCAGGGCCTGGTGCTGGGGGCCAGCGGAAACAGCCGACAGCCCCTCCCGGTGCACCCGCCGTCCTGGCGGGTCTTCACCACACGCTCAGACTTTGCGCCTCGGGTCTAGCCGCTGATCCGCTTGGGCCCCCGCCAGGGAAAGGGGAAAGTGTAGGGAACCCCTGGACTCAGAGTCCTTCGGGATTGGGGAGCGAGTCTCCGCGCTAGCCTCTCTCCTTGCTGAGGTCGAGAGAGGAAACAGTGCACGCTCCAGATTTTCCCCGCGGATGAGCCGCGTCCTTTTCCACCGGCCGGCGCGAGTGAGTTGGCGCAGGGACCCCTCCCGGGGCCCAGCCGGCCGCAGCTCGCAGGCGCCGCCCCCGCCCCCGCGCCCGCGGGCCGCCGCTAGCGATCTCTTTAATATTCATGGGCGTTAATAGAGAGGCCCCCAGTATATCGGTCCATTGTGGGCGGCTCGTAGGGCTTGAATAGGCCCCGGCCCCCTTTCTTCGGCAAGGCTTCCCGAGGGGCCGGGCCAGGAGTGAATGGCCCTGCTTCCCGCCCCGCGCCCCCTCCCCCTTGCGGGGAGAACATCTTTATCCCCGCCGCCGCCGCCGCTGCCGCCGCCGCCCGGGCCCCCATTCACGCGGCCCCGGCTCCGGGCGGAACGAATCAATCGGTCGCGGTTCTTCGGAGGTCATTCTCCCCGACTCCCCGGGCCCGCGGGAGTGGCCGAGGGAAGCGGTGGCTGGCGGACACACCCACGGACCGCGAGACACTTGTGTGGGAGCGCACACAGCGGCCCCGCGAGGGGCGGCCAGGCCGGGCGGGTGAGCGTGGTCTACGGGCCCCGCAGCCGCCCTGGGCCCGCTGGTTCCTACTTGTTGCCGCGCACAGGACGGAGCGGACCACACGAGGGCCACATTCCGAGCCGGCCTCCCTGCCGGCCAGGCACGACGCCCGCCCCTTCAGGCCAGATGGCCGCTCCCGTCTGAGAGGCTGCGTGCGCGGTAGAGGTTAGGGACACAGTCCAGGGCTCCCCCGGCCCTGCCGCCCGAACCCTGGGGCTCTTTCGTTCCGCGGCCAACTCGGCTCCGGGACGCCGCTCAGACAGCGGCCTCTGGGGCGCGTTCGGAGATGAGGCCGGATTCCCGGCTCCCGCGCCCTGGGCCGGCCACTCCGACCCGGTGGAGGCGCGTGCGGGTCGGTCAGGCGCGGCCAAGGCGCGCGCGGGTCTCCGCCCCTCCCGCCCGGCGGACCCTGGAGGTGCAGAAAGGAGTCCATTGTTCTTCTAGAAGTACATTTTGGGGGGCCGAGTCAAAGACCGTCTTTCTTTTGAAGTTTAGAAGAAAGTCATCTGCCCTCGCCCCTCGGAGCGAGAGATTTGTCCCCCCTCCCGGGTGCCCGCGCGCCGCCTCCTCTTCCTGAAACATCTGCCGAGGGAAAATCCACCCTGGAGGGCAGATCGCGTTCGCTCTAAGCCCCGCGAACTCATTAAAAAGATATTAGCGGCCGGGGCAGGTCCCGCGCAGGTATTGATCGGCCAGAAGGAGCCCGAGGAAGAAAAGGCAAAGAATGTGGGCGCGCCTGGTCCCTCCTCCCTGCCGTGCTCCCGGCCGCAGTGGGGGCCCCAGCGCAAGCCGCCCGCCCCGTCGAGTGTCGGCTGCCCGCCCGGTGCTGACTTCCCTCTCCCTGCTCCCTCAGCTCCCCTTCTCCCCCCACCACCTCCCCCCTCCTCTCATCTGGGGTGCCGACGGGTGCCGTTTTCTCCCTCTGCTCCGGCTCCCCGCTTCGCCTAGCTCGCAGCCGCGGCGGCTCTCCCTGCCTCGGCTCTCTCCTGGCCTCGCCTCCCGCCTCCTTCTCTCCCTCCATCTCTCCTCCCCACTTTCTTCTCTTTTGCCCCCTCTCGGCCTTCTCACGCCCTCTGGGCTCACGCCTCCCTTTTCTCTCCGTGCTTTCCTGCCCCCCCTTTCTGCCACGGCCCTCCTTCCTCGCGTGGGGCCCGTGTGTTCTCCGGCCTGGTTCGCGCAGGCTCGGGGGCGCCGCAGCCGCCGCGTACAAAGGGCTGCCGGCTGCCCGAGTGGGGCAGAAACGGCTTCAATAGACGGACTCGGCAGGCCGGCGCGGGGCTGCGGGCGGAGTGGAGGCCCGGCGCTGTGAATAGGGACGGCGCCCTCCTTCAGTCTAATTAGACTCCGCGGCCCGGGACAGACAAAGGCGCGCCCCGGGGCGCCCACGTCCTGCGCTTTGGCGCGCAGCCGGCGCCCCGACCGGCAGGTGACTGGCACGCGAGTCTCCCTGGACGCTGAGCGCCGCGTGCCCCTCCCCTGCGCCTCTCCGAACCTCCCCGCCCCCTCCACCCACGCTCGGGCCCGGGCCCGCTGCAGCCAGCGCCGAAGTCCGGGTCGATCAATGCGGCGGGACTGGAGGGAGAGACGCTCCGGGAAGCGCAGGCCCTGGGGGCAGACGCTGGGAGCCCGCCGAGCCCCAGGCACCAACCTGCTCAGCCGCTCCTGCTGGCTGGAGGGGCCGCGCTGGAGGGAGACTGAGGCAGGGAGAGGTGGAGAGGGCAGGTGAAAACTCGGCTGAAATGTGGGGACACTCGACAGAGACGAAGGAACCCAGTCCGTACCAGAGAAGCCGGGCTGGGAGCACTTGAGAGCCAGATGGAGGAAGAAAGAGGGCTGAACAGGGGTATCCGGGACCTGGAAATGGGGTTTGGAGGCGTTGGGGCACAGCCCAGGTGGCAAAGAGAGAAAGGTGGGCAGGGCAGGTGGGAAACAGGCCTC